TTGATTGTCTTTAATTTTCTTCCTGAGAAATATTCACCATTTTTAACAATAACTAGTGTCAGTATCCACGCGATGCGCAATTGATTTGACAAAATATTAATCTTATAAAATTATGAACTAATATATTTTTATTTTAATAAATATTATTTTTTATTTTCTTATTTGATGTAGTATGCAGAAATATAACAAATCTATACAAAATCAAAGGATACACATCATATAGTAATCAAATAAATTATTGTCCCTTATTTATTTTTTATTAAATTAGCAAGTATTTAGTATTATCTATTTACTAATCTGATTTTTATAGTCTTGTCAATTGACTTAATATTTTGATACTACTTCACTTTTAATATAACATGGATATATATTTTCTTACTCTAAAAATATTTTTATTCTTAAAACTTATGTTATACGGTTCAAAATTCTCCAATTGTCTAAATTTATCAATAATATTTTTGAGAGTTATTTATTTATCTTTTATTTTTTAATTAATTCAAAATATAACTATAATAAAATTATCCTTATCCCCCTCTTTTCGTCATTTTTTTCTAGTATAATATTTGATTAATTTTCTCAATTTGTAAGTTACTGGTAATTTAAATGATGTAATATTTTATTTACTAAATTAAAATTTTAAATTCATCAAAACTATAAAGAGATAAGCCTTTTATTATTTGTATAAAAAAACTACCAGTATTTTTAAGAATTATTAATTTATTTATATATAATATGCTTATCTTATGTATAGATATAGATTTGAATGGACAGTTTTTTATAATTTATGTTTTTTATTATTAAATATTTTATTTTATTATTTTATAGATATTTAAATTCAAAAATAATAATCAATAACTAAATAATTAATTATTAACTTCTTTTGCCATGTGGCTTTTTTGTAACTACCACTTGACTTAAGGAGGGAGCTTATAATACGTAATTTTTATCTTTAAAATTAGTCAAAATAGGGGTATTATTTTTCTCTTTAAACGCAATTTTTATTAAAAAATTTATTAGTTAAAATAGGGCAGTAGGTCGTATCTTTAGAAAAATCTTATTTACTATATTCCCATTTAAATTAAAAAAATCTTCCTTTCAATTTAAATTAAATGTTATTGTACATATTGTCCTAAATTGCCAAATGACTTTATAATAGCTTGTCACTTGGCTTAACCACAATGCATACGTTATTCCTTTAATAGATATCAGCAGGCCATATATCTTTCGAAAAATCTTATTTACTATTTTCTCATTTAAATTAAAAAAAAATCTTACCTTTCATTTTAAAGTAAATGTTATTATATATATTGTCCTAAATTGCCAAATGGCTTTATAATAGCTTGCCACTTTGCTTAATCACAATACAAAAGTTATTTCTTTAATAGCTATATAGATTCAAATTATTTTATTTTAATTAAAAATTTCTTATTTTTTCAATTTAATATATTTATTACATTTATTTTTCAGTGTAAAACTTGATTTGACAGAATATTAATCTTATAAAATTATGAACTAATATATTTTTATTTTAATAAATATTAGTTTTTATTTTCTTATTAGTATGCAAAAATATAACAAATCTATACAAAATCAAAGGATACACATTATATAGTAATCAAAATAATTATTGTCCCTTATTTATTTTTTATTAAATTAGCAAGTATTTATTATTATTTATTTACTAATGTGATATTTATAACCTTGTCAATTGACTTAATATTTGATACTACTTCTCTTTTAATATAACATGGATATATATTTTCTTACTCTAGAAATATTTTTATTCTTAAAACTTATGTTATACTGTTCAAAATTCTCCAATTGTCTAAATTTATCAATAACATTTTTGAGAGTTATTTATTTATCTTTTATTTTTTAATTAATTCAAAATATAATTATCATAAGATTATCCTTATCCCCCTCTTTTCATCATTTTTTCTACTATAATATTTGATTAATTTTCTCAATTTGTAAGCTACTGATAATTTAAATAATACAATATTTTCTTACTAAATGAAATAATGTATCTTTAGAAAAATCTTATTTACTATCTTCCCTTTTAAATTAAAACAAAAAAAGAGTCTTACCTTTCAATTTAAATTAAATTTTATTATACATATTGTCCTAAATAACCAAATGGCTTTGTAATAGCTTGTCACTTTGCTTAACCACAATGCAAATATTATTTCTTTAATAGATATATAGATTCAAATTATTTTATTTTAATTCAAAATTTCTTATTTTATAATTTAATATATTTATTACATTTATTTTTACAGTGTAAAACTTGATTTGAACTACTTAAGAAAAGACGTGGATTTGGATTAAAGATTACTTGCGTTAATTAATTTTCTTCCTTCTTTCCATTAATTATTAAAGGGAAGTAGGTAAATCAAAATTTGAATTAATTTGTTTCCATTTTGATTTCAGTAATTANTAAACAGGTACTCGAAAATATTATAAACAGGTAAAAAGGAAATTTCTTATTATTTCTTCCTTTTCCTCGTTATTTATGGCATATTTCACCAAGAAAAGGAAAATTCCAGCATTGTTACTTTCCCTTCCTAGATATTCCCTTGCGGCATTCAGTTAACCATTGAAGCAGTTAAAGTAAAAGATGTTCCAACGGTGAAATCATAAGGAGACAAAAGTTGTGTGGGTGGTGAAAACAAAGTAAATATTAAGCGTCAGATTTTGCAGTACTTTTCCCCTTCATTGATTTCATAAATAGACAACAGACACAGCTGTATTTGTACTCTAGTGTGATCTTTCATCTCCACCCACAAGATTTTGTTTGATATTTGTATTGTTATAAAAGTTTTGAATTAAAGAAAATTAACTAAAATATTCTTTTAGTTTTAATTTATATGAATTTTTTTTAGTTCGTGTAAAAAAAAATAATGATTGTTTTTTATATTTAGAAATAATTTACTTTATGCAATATTTCTTCCGTCTCATATTAACAGTTATAGTTATTAAAAATAGTTATAAATTATTTTTCATTTTAGAAGGTCAAGACAAAATTGATTATTTTTTTGCTTTTGTACCCTTAGTAATAATTATTCTTGAAAATGGAAATAACACATAAATAAAATAATTATTCAATGAAGAGAGATTATATCTTAAGGTATAAATAAGAGTAGAATAGTCTAATCTCTTTTCTAATTAATATATTTCTTAAGAGACGTGTAAAAGAGAAACACGACACATAATATGAGACAGATGGAGTAATTTATAGCCACAAAAATATATGTGCCTCATTTTACATCACAAGTTTAAAAGTCTTTTTTTAAACTACGTGTTCAGTCAAATAAGTTCACATAAATTAAAACGAACGGAGCGATAAGTTTAATGTTGAACTATTTCTAAAATAAAAAATGTATTGTTCTTTTGTTGAATAAATTAATAAGAAAAATATGTTATATAAATTAGAACAAAAGAATATATATATATATATATATATATATATATATATATATATATATATATATATATATATATATAT